ACCAATTGAATGAAGATGATTTTGACAGGCGACAGGAATTTTGTGAAATTATGACTACAAGAATAGATGCTGATGAGAATTTTCTTTTCAACATCTGCTTTTCTGATGAGTCTACATTCTTTTTGAATTGGACTGTGAATCGTCATAATTGTCGTTATTGGTCAGATGCCAATCCACATGTTTTTCACGAAGTTCATACTCAAACTCCCCAAAAACTCAATGTCTGGGCCGGTATTTTCGGGGACCGTTTGATTGGACCAGTATTTCTCGACGGTAACCTGACAGGAGAAACTTATTAAGAGTTATTGAATCAATTCGTTTATCCACAATTAGTAGACATAATTGAAAATGACAATCGTTACCATGAAGACCACTTGAAATTTCAACAAGACGGGGCACCTCCACATTATGCACAGCCTGTTAGGGCGTTCTTGGATAGAATGTTTCCTGGAAGTTTGATTGGAAGAAGAGGCGCTATAGAGTGGCCAGCCAGATCTCCATATTTAACTCCACTCGACTTTTTCCTGTGGGGTCACTTGAAAAACAAAATCTATGCAACTGAACCAGAATCTCTGGAAGAATTACGACGTAGAATTGTTGAAGAATGCCGTCGAATAACGCCGGAAATGCTACGAAATGTGAGGTCTCAATTTGAACAGAACTTGTACTATTGTATGGAAATGGGTGGTAAACAGTTTGAACATTTAATTCATTGACAATAATAATCATTGCGACAGTTGCTTTATCAGATATTGTTTTTATTGATTGAGTGAATGAAAAGTGATTTCCCAAATTCAAGCTCCTATATCTCGAAAACGAATCGATAGAATTAATTTATTTTTGTTGTTTGATATTAAGAAGGAAAATACCTTTCAAATGAGGTATCACTTGCCATATGTTGCCATTTGAAAATTTAGGGGTGGCAGTCACAGCTCCGAGGGATGGAATGTATGTCGGGTGAATTTCATCGCGAACGATGTCCCCCTCGAAGATGTTGTTGACGTGTCCGAGCGTTTTTATTTAACTCGATTCTGCCGACCTACAGAGCCGCTGTTTCGTTTTCAATGGCCCACTCTGTATGTAGAATAGTGACATAATTGTTTGGCATAAATCAGGTAGAAATTGTGTTAGAATTCTGCTTCAAATTTTCCCTGGTGAATTTTTCAGAGTCGTGCAACAAGGGGCAGACTTTGGCAGCTACTGCAGAGTGCAGACAACAATTTGGAGATTGACAAGACCAGAGGATCAATGATCCACGTTGCGTTCAATCATCAAGTATTCTGTCTTTCTTTTACCCTTCAAAATGTTGAATTCATCGGTTTCCAAGAGTGAATAACATATGGGGCCCGGAAAATTTTATTGAGAATCCTGTTTCGATAGCTGTTTGAAAATATCAGGATGTTCCGAGTCAAATTCCATTCTGAGTGATTATTAGTTTCACAAGATTTTGATGAATTAGGTGTCAACTGAATATATTCCATATTTTTCACTGGGTTAATTTTTCTTCATCATAATATATTATTTATTCTTCTGGGAACATGAAGTGTGTCAATGTCAGATGAATACTCGCAAGTTATGTAGTATTATTAGTCACAAGTAGGGGTGGGCGAAAATGATTTTGAAATATCGATTATCGATATTCACAATGTATCGATATTATCGATTTATCGATATTATCGATATTATCGATTTTATCGATATTACCGATATTACCGATATTATCGATATTATCGATATTATCGATATTATAGATATTATCGACATCATCGAGATTATCGATATTATCAATATTATCGATATTATCGACATTATCGACATTATCGACATTATCGGGATTATCGATATTATCGATATCATCGATATTATCGATAATTATCGATAATATCGAAATAATCGATATAACCGATATAATTATCGAGTATCTTGAAAATTTTTGATTTTTCTGATTATCATTGATAATCTTTGGAATTATCGATTAAATGGAGATTCTAAAAATATCAGAATAATAGTGTTCCATTTGAAATGTAGAAGTTCGCCACCACAACTAATAAGGGTTGCCACGTTGCCAGATGTCAGATAGCTCCAGGCAAGTTGCTGTGCTGGAGTCCTATGTTGTTTGAACAAGGCTAATGGACAGGGTGGCGTGTCTTATTATATTTTCATTCTTACCTCAATTCTTACCAACAGGTTTCTGTTTTATACAGGGTGTTCCATATAAAAAACAGAAATGCCTATTTTTCTGATGCTCATTCATTTTGATAATTTCGATAATTTCGATAATTTCGATAATATCGATGATATCGATAATATCGATAATATCGATAATTTCGATAATCTCAATTATATCGATAATATCGATGATTCCGATAATCGATAATTCCGATAATATCGATAATTATCGATAATATCGATAACATCGATATTATCGATATTATCGATATAATCGATATAATCGATATTATCGATATTATCGATATTATCGATATTATCGATATTATCGATAATTATCGATATTATCGATGTTATCGATATTATCGATAATTATCGATATTATCGGAATTATCGATTATCGGAATCATCGATATTATCGATATAATTGAGATTATCGAAATTATCGATATTATCGATATTATCGATATTATCGATATCATCGATATTATCGAAATTATCGAAATTATCAAAATGAATGAGCATCAGAAAAATAGGCATTTCTGTTTTTTATATGGAACACCCTGTATAAAACAGAAACCTGTTGGTAAGAATTGAGGTAAGAATGAAAATATAATAAGACACGCCACCCTGTCCATTAGCCTTGTTCAAACAACATAGGACTCCAGCACAGCAACTTGCCTGGAGCTATCTGACATCTGGCAACGTGGCAACCCTTTTTAGTTGTGGTGGCGAACTTCTACATTTCAAATGGAACACTATTATTCTGATATTTTTAGAATCTCCATTTAATCGATAATTCCAAAGATTATCAATGATAATCAGAAAAATCAAAAATTTTCAAGATAATCGATAATTATATCGGTAATATCGATATTACCGATATTACCGATATTATCGATATTATCGATATTATCGATATTATAGATATTATCGACATCATCGAGATTATCGATATTATCAATATTATCGATATTATCGACATTATCGACATTATCGACATTATCGAGATTATCGATATTATCGATATCATCGATATTATCGATAATTATCGATAATATCGAAATAATCGATATTACCGATATAATTATCGATTATCTTGAAAATTTTTGATTTTTCTGATTATCATTGATAATCTTTGGAATTATCGATTAAATGGAGATTCTAAAAATATCAGGATAATAGTGTTCCATTTGAAATGTAGAAGTTCGCCACCACAACTAATAAGGGTTGCCACGTTGCCAGATGTCAGATAGCTCCAGGCAAGTTGCTGTGCTGGAGTCCTATGTTGTTTGAACAAGGCTAATGGACAGGGTGGCGTGTCTTATTATATTTTCATTCTTACCTCAATTCTTACCAACAGGTTTCTGTTTTATACAGGGTGTTCCATATAAAAAACAGAAATGCCTATTTTTCTGATGCTCATTCATTTTGATAATTTCGATAATTTCGATAATTTCGATAATATCGATGATATCGATAATATCGATAATATCGATAATTTCGATAATCTCAATTATATCGATAATATCGATGATTCCGATAATCGATAATTCCGATAATATCGATAATTATCGATAATATCGATAACATCGATAATATCGATAATTATCGATAATATCGATAATATCGATAATATCGATAATATCGATAATATCGATAATATCGATTATATCGATTATATCGATAATATCGATAATATCGATAATATTGATATCGGAATCATCGATATTATCGATATAATTGAGATTATCGAAATTATCGATATTATCGATATTATCGATATCATCGATATTATCGAAATTATCGAAATTATCGAAATTATCAAAATGAATGAGCATCAGAAAAATAGGCATTTCTGTTTTTTATATGGAACACCCTGTATAAAACAGAAACCTGTTGGTAAGAATTGAGGTAAGAATGAAAATATAATAAGACACGCCACCCTGTCCATTAGCCTTGTTCAAACAACATAGGACTCCAGCACAGCAACTTGCCTGGAGCTATCTGACATCTGGCAACGTGGCAACCCTTATTAGTTGTGGTGGCGAACTTCTACATTTCAAATGGAACACTATTATTCTGATATTTTTAGAATCTCCATTTAATCGATAATTCCAAAGATTATCAATGATAATCAGAAAAATCAAAAATTTTCAAGATAATCGATAATTATATCGGTAATATCGATTATTTCGATATTATCGATAATTATCGATAATATCGATGATATCGATAATATCGATAATCTCGATAATGTCGATAATGTCGATAATGTCGATAATATCGATAATATTGATAATATCGATAATCTCGATGATGTCGATAATATCTATAATATCGATAATATCGATAATATCGATAATATCGGTAATATCGGTAATATCGATAATATCGATAATATCGATAATATCGATAAATCGATAATATCGATACATTGTGAATATCGATAATCGATATTTCAAAATCATTTTCGCCCACTCCTACTTGTGACTAATAATACTACATAACTTGCGAGTATTCATCTGACATTGACACACTTCATGTTCCCAGAAGAATAAATAATATATTATGATGAAGAAAAATTAACCCAGTGAAAAATATGGAATATATTCAGTTGACACCTAATTCATCAAAATCTTGTGAAACTAATAATCACTCAGAATGGAATTTGACTCGGAACATCCTGATATTTTCAAACAGCTATCAAAACAGGATTCTCAATAAAATTTTCCGGGCCCCATATGTTATTCACTCTTGGAAACCGATGAATTCAACATTTTGAAGGGTAAAAGAAAGACAGAATACTTGATGATTGAACGCAACGTGGATCATTGATCCTCTGGTCTTGTCAATCTCCAAATTGTTGTCTGCACTCTGCAGTAGCTGCCAAAGTCTGCCCCTTGTTGCACGACTCTGAAAAATTCACCAGGGAAAATTTGAAGCAGAATTCTAACACAATTACTACCTGATTTATGCCAAACAATTATGTCACTATTCTACATACAGAGTGGGCCATTGAAAACGAAACAGCGGTCTGTAGGTCGGCAGAATCGAGTTAAATAAAAACGCTCGGACACGTCAACAACATCTTCGAGGGGGACATCGTTCGCGATGAAATTCACCCGACATACATTCCATCCCTCGGAGCTGTGACTGCCACCCCTAAATTTTCAAATGGCAACATATGGCAAGTGATACCTCATTTGAAAGGTATTTTCCTTCTTAATATCAAACAACAAAAATAATATCGATAACATCGATAATATCGATAATATCGATAATATCGATAATATCGATAATATCGATAATATCGATAATATCGATTATATCGATTATATCGATAATATCGATAATATCGATAATATCGATAATATCGATAATATCGATAATATCGAAATCGTTAATATCGATAATATCGATAATATCGATAATATTGATAATATCGATATATCGATAATTTTTCCCATCCCTAGTCACAAGACACAGTATAAACTCAGACTATATTGTCCAATATATGAAGGGGGTATCCGTTTGGATGAGTAATGAGATGTCCATGAGATGATCTGGTATATGGATTGATTTGCTAGCATTGTTTGAAAATAGCACAAAGGTCTTGCTTTATGTATGTTGGTAACCTACCGGAAGAAGCCTGTTGATTCTATAGGAATCATCACCAAAATTGAAGGTGGCCTCAAAGTTCTTTCATCGTGCTGTAATTTGGGTATTTTCCTTTCAGCATTTTGAATACCTCATTATTCATTCGAATATCGATGAGGCTATGCACAACTACAATTTTCAATTTCAACTTGGAATCTTTGGGTGACACCTATACCGTATTCTTCTCCAAGAGTCAAGAAGAAGACCCTCCTCGATCCCATACATACGAGATACTGGTTCTGTAACCATTTATATTTCACATTCTCAGTATTTTTCAAGTTTCACAATAATGTGGTTACAATACATCAGTCCGCGTTAATAGCGCATCAACTCGAGTGTCATTCGTGATTTTCTACAGAAAAGAAGAAACCAGACAGTTCCAGAACCAAGTTAGACCATTTCAGAATTGAGTTCTCAAACTATAATCTGACTCTGAACCATCTTATGTAAAAGACGTTCTTGTGATTTCGCTATGGAAATGTCAGGTATTCATAAACACTTCTCAAGTCTCTCATTTACTATTTTCATAAGATTCATATACGGATTCAAAATCTATCAATTCATGTTATGGATGCAACTAACTAAGTTGAATCAGATGATATTACTCTACTACCATTCACTGAGAAACAGTATAGTTTCTTCAAACATCATCTTTTCGATTTGGAAACATCATTTTTTCGAGTTGAAAACATAAGGTGAAATAATGAGTTCTGCTGATGATACGGCCGTTTTTTATGAAGGCGAATCATGGCAGAGTATGGAAACAGAAGTCGAGACAGACCTCAAAAGAATTATTGAATGGTTTAATACTAAGCTCTTGACAGCAAACTTCGAAAAACCTTATTTCATCCCATTCACATCATACCAGAACAATGCACCTGAATACAATTCACTCGAAATACCATGTGATACTCCTGTGCGAATAGAATCTGCTAATAAAATCAAGTACCTTAGTGTTATTATCGATACACATCTCACATGGAATGAACATGTCACGCAAAAACTAAGATGTTCGTTACCAAAAATGAAAAAAATGTCAAATATACTGAACTCAGAACAAGTCAAAATTATATACTTAGCACTTGTTGAAAGTCATCTGATTTATGAAATGACTTCTTGGGAAGGAGTTACAAATTCGTATTTGATCAACCCACAAACCATACAAAAATCTTCAAGATTTTATTGAAGAAAACTTTCACATACTCGTCTGATATTCTATTCATAGAAAGTAAATGCTTCGATCTGCGGCAGCTATCTTGTTATGGACTGTTACTAAGACAACACAAATATAGATAATAAGGTTCTGCCTTACATGATTCAATGTATACAGGGTGATCCACGGTGGATGGCCTATTAAAAATATCTGAAGAACGAATGGACAGAACATTCTGAAAATGGAGGTACTTTGCTAATTGAACATTCTCTATCCGTCTTAAATATTTTCATCGATACAGTGGTGCCACTTCTATCAAAAACAACTAGCAACTTCGTTATTTCGAATAAAACATCCTATATTTCATATCATTTTCAGACTCTTCCTGAAGAGCTAATTCCATCGATTCATCAGACTTGGTCTAGCAGCAATGAAAACAGAGATATAGGGTGTTCAAAATCGATAATTTTCAATTTAATAATTTTTTTGTGTCGAAACTATTCAATATCGATGAAAACGGCTCACATGGCACTATCCCAACTTTCGATTCACTATCTACTGACATTCAATCGGAACAGATTGGAACAACCTATTTCTACCATTATATACCGGTAGTCTGCCAGATGATATAGCAGAAATTTTCGTTTCTACAGCTGAACGAAACCCTGCTTTATTCTGCCATTGATTCAGATTGAGGCTATCAAAAGTTGCTGACAACGTAGGTCTTTCAGCTCCATGTACTGCCATTGGTGAATTATGCATAAGAGCTGGCTAAGTAGCCCTCAGATGAGAATAATCTCAATCGAAAACGGAGTCAAACACATTTACTGAACTTTGACTGGCCGGAACTGTAGTAGGTATAGAAAATGGTGAATTGTTACCTTGATTGCTTCTAGGTCATTTCATGACAGTGAAGGTCAAGTTACTCTTTTTCGCCCTCCCAAAACATTTTATCTCTCGCCAGTCCTCATCAGCCTTGCTGAACTGTGATCCAAACCCACTATTGTTGTCTGTCCCCAAAAACCAGGCGCCTGGTTGGTCGCCAGATGTGATGGATAATCAGTCCTAGTGGTTACACTTTGGAGTTCCGTCCTGGTGATTCATGGGTATAAAAAGACAAGCAATGGATTGGAGGCTGTTTTATCGCTCAAGTGGTGCGGTATGATTACAACGATTATTTCATTCATCTGAAAATTCACGCTTTTGATTGGTTGTAACAGCTGTATTGATAATCGAAAACACTATGTTATCGATTTTGTATTTCGGCACCTGATTGGATACTTACTGTTTGAGTTTTTGTAGCATGACAGCAGGATATGAATGCTGTCATAATATATTCGTGTTCGGGGAATAAAAACACTACACTTCTATTCAAAACCCAATAGGCACTATCACAATTTGAATTTGTCCTCACAATTATAATAAGACAATTCCAAATAATTATTGATTGAGCATGATTCGCATGATATAACCTAAGTAGTTAAACTAAGAGACCACGACTATAGGCATTGGGAAATACACGCTTCAATCTTAACTGGAACGCGGTCTGTGTTCTAGCGGGGAAGAGGGGTAGCGCTGGCGCGAGCTTATCGAAACCGCAACAATAACACTTTAATGACAATAACAAGATTGAATTTTCATATACAGGGCGTTTGAGTTGATTGAAAATTGAAAAAAAATATATATACAGAGTGTCCTACGGTTCACGGTCCCATGTTTCAGCATGGAAGGAGTGTTTGAGTTGGAAGGAATATATACAGGGTGTTTGAGTTGATGGAGATTGAAGAAAAAATAAACAGAACGGCCCATGGGATTGAAAGAATACGAAAACGGAGATAAATAAACTATTCATTTAAGTAATCCTTTTCTACAAAAATGACATGCCTCTTGAGAAGATGGCGGTCCATTCCAGTGTGTGGTCCAATCGGGACGATTATAATGAACGAAGCATGGCAGTTTGATTTGTATGTCAAAGTTGCTGCGATATTCTTGAGGAAGTTTGTGCCATATCATCAATAGGTCACAGGGATCTGCATGTTCAATGATACACTCTACTGGAATATAGTGCAATTCTTGTTCGGTGAATTTCAGCAGAGTGGTAGCAGGAGATTTCAGGAACTCTAAGAGCACAGCTATTTCAGATTTATAACAGAGTGTCTCAATACTGGAGAGTGGATTGCTTTCAATATCAATAGAACGTGGGAAAGTTTTAAAGAGCGAAAATTTCGCTATAATCGACACCAAGCATTGTGTGTGAGAAATGTGGGAAATTCTTGAATAAAACTAACCTATACCACCATATGAGGAATGCCCATAGAGTGGACGCCACCTATTCGAATAACATAGCTGATTAGCGGATGGCAGTTAATGGATTCAGAAGTCTTCAGATCACACCTATAGAAGTATTCAGAGGTATTCGGAGGTCTTCAGATCACGCCTTCAGATGTCTTCAGAGGTATTCAGAGGTATTCAGAGGTCTTCAGATCACGCCTTCAGAGGTATTCAGATGTCTTCAGAGGTATTCAGATGTCTTCAGAGGTATTCAGATGTCTTCAGGGGTATATCAGACACCATAGCATTCACATCATGGAGTCTAAACCACATTCATCAGAGCAAGCATTAGATAAATATCATTGTGCAGATTATGATAATGCTTATGAACCGAAATATGTTGGCGGTAGATGGACACTTGGACATAAGAATCTACGCTTTGAGGACCAATACATAGGCGTAGATAATGTCGATTTTAAAAGTACTCTGGGTCTTTTGGAATTATTATTTTCCAAGAACCCTCGAAATTACATGCCTCTGGATCACCAGATGTATAAACAGATGCTAGAAATCAGCTCTATTCATAGAGATCGATTAGGGCGATTACGAGGACAAGCTGATAAGGAGAAATTCGATAAAATTATCAGACCCCTTTTCAAAAATAAGACCAACCTAAACGTACAAAGTCGAGCGCGGAGCCTGAAGCCAGTATTGGGAATGAAGAGTACAATATTCTAGATGAATGGACAGATCCGAATATCTTGGTGGATAGACTGAGATATTTAATGGAATCAGATAAGAACAACAACGAGATCGCCTTTATCCTTACTGAACTTGAAAATGTTGGTATAATATCTAAAAATAAATGATGTCAAAATTATCCGTTTTCATTCAACATCTGTTAGGCGAGTAGACTCACAATGACTACTCAACTTGGCATACAAAAATATATATTCAAAAACCCTGTATAATGACTGATAGGTAGTGTGATGAAATCATTGTCCGTTTACTGTAGTCTATAACTCAGCTGATTTAATCATCCTTCTAGGCTTTGAAAGAATATGATTTTCTGTATACGCCAAATATAGAACAACCAAGATAACGACATCCTGTTTCAACGCTGCAACTTGAACAACTATTTACACCTAAAATTCATATAACAGCTCAGTGTTTTACCATAGGAGGTATTCTGGTTGGTTCATAAAATATGTCAAACAACTCTCTACCAAAACTGGTTTTCTGAGAGTCAGAGGAACAAGGGGATAGCGTTTAGTGCGATGGGATGTAATCCGCAGGAAGCGAAATAGGTATCATGTTTCGGGTGATCTAATATGAAAGCATACCCGATCAGACCTAAAATAATTCTGTCACATAGAAATCTCATATATATTGTAGGCCAATTCTCATCAAATTCCTACAATATTCCTCAGTCTTCAGTCACGTGACCTGATAGATCGTGAAACGTTTACTTGGTCATAACTGCAGAAATATATGTTTCAACTATACGAGGTGTTTTTGAAATAATAATATGTATTCAGCACATCGATATATAACATTCTCATATCAAATATCTTCAAATTCCTCAAATCAACAGGAAATTGTATCCCGAAAATTGAGCAAAAACAGGAAAACATTAAAACAATCTGAATAATTGAACTCAGCACAAAAAATTCATGTAGATGGAACGTTATAGGATTATCACAGAGTGAAACTATACCGGGTGACACAGGGTATCGGGCCACCCCTGTAACTTCTGCTTTCGTCATCGAATTTTTCTGAAATTCGGTACAGTTATATAAGCAATTATTTCGGATTTGATCACATTACAATCCAATATGGCGGACTTCCGGTATTTCTGGAAATGCCAGCAACTTTGTTTTTTCAAATGAAACACCCTGTATATTTTTACATATTCAAGTTCAACATGTCGAAACAAGTGCAATCTCTATTTCAGATGTCATTTTTTCGAAAAAAATCAAATTAAAATTGTTTTTTCATTTTACCTCGTGGATAAATGAGATGTGGTCAAGACTATTCACAATAAGTCACACATAACGGAAGAACATAATTTTTTCTGAAAAATCATTTTTTGTGTCACTTATCCAGGAATCAATTCAGCCACATCACTTTTTGATCAAAAATTATTTTTTTTCAAATGGAACCCCTATGGGCCACCTACCCGTCTTTCTAGAACATACATTAAGGAACAAAATGACATATCACTTTTGTTTTTCGGTGCAGTAACAAATTGTATACATTCAAAAATCAACAACTAGTTTATGAATTTCCTTGCAGTTAAAATAATTTTTCAACTAGGTAGGCTGTGGAATAAATGACATTTGACATCAAGATTGCACTTGTTTTGACCTGCTGAACTTGAATATGTAAAAATATACAGGGTGTTCCATTTGAAAAAACAAAATTGCTGGCATTTCCAGAAAAACCGGAAATCCGCCATATTGGATTGTAATGTGATCAAATCCGAAATAGTTGCTTATATAACTGTACCGAATTTTAGAAAAATCCGTTGACGAATGCAGAAGGTACAGGGGTGGCCCGATAGCCTGTGTCACCCGGTATAGGTGTAAAATTGGTCTCGCCTCACCTATATGTCATTCGATAGTATAAACGTCTCGAGGCTCGAAATTTTCACGCTCATTCCAATACAGCCCAGTATATAAAAAAATGTGGTTATAAAGCATTTACCTTTAGCTTTTTTCACCTTAGCAGGCTTAGATTCGATGAAAATCTGAATGATGAATGAAGATAGTGAGAAGACAATTCAGATATAACAAAAAACCACCATACTCCTGTTTTCATACATGATTCTTCAAAAGCATTTTTGGAAAACGACGTCATTTAATCGACGAGAAATTTCACATAACGTCCACGATATGACTGAAAAAATATAGAAATAGAAACTTGATAGTCAGCGGGAAACCTGATTACAGCTTCCTATCTTCCAATTAATTGTTGATAATGCATGTTTAGCGGACAAAAAATATGTTTTCAACAATATATGAACCACCACGAGGAAAAATATAATATACAGGACGATTAAAAACCAGAATCAGATGATGCATATGAAGAAGTTATAAAGGCTGATCTCTCTCAATTTGACACATCTGAATATGCTCCAGATAATGAATATAATATGCCACTAGTCAATAAAAAAAAAGTTGGGTTTATTGAAAGATGAAGCAAATGGAAAATTCGTTACTAATTTCGTAGGACTACGTTCGAAAATGTATGCATATAAAGTACAAGGGGGTAAGGTTGTCAAAAAATCGAAAGGGGTGAAAACTAATGTTGTCAAGAATAAAATTGGGTTCGAAGATTATTTGAATTGTTTGAAGAATTTCAGAGAACAAACAGTGTCTCAACGTACTATCCGTTCATATGACCACAATGTGTTTAGCATTCAACAATCAAAAATTGCTCAAAGATGATAAACGGTATTTGATTTCAGGTTCGTTTGACACATTGCCATGGGGTCATACACAGGCAAAAGAGTAATTTTTTCATGTAAATCAACTCATCAAACATTTATAAAGAAAAATAAAAACTCATACACCTACACTTACACTCCTCTGTTTCAGATTTAGAATTATCATTTGGGCTTAAAGAACGATATGAATGTGATATGGATTTACATGATTCACATTATCATTATGAGAGATTCATCGATTCTGGTGATGAACATACAGATATTGATTCTTGACTTACTTCAACAATATTTTACAGATTTTAGTAGCATGATATCATCTTTACAAATGTAGTTTGCGAAAGAAGAAAATAAAAAATGACTTTTTTTCAGAATATATTTTTTTTTATGAAAATGTAATACTTGTCCTGGCTATTAATGTAAATATAATATATGCTGCCTATCTATCATTAATAAAATAATTATTGAAATTTTCTGTGTATCATTGGGATGGGTAGTGAGTGTAAGAGAGAGTGAGAGGGTAAAAAAGTGAGGAGAAGAGAGAGGGAGAGAGAGAGAAAGAGAGAGAGAGAAAGAGAGAGAGAGAGAGAGAGAGATAGAGAGAGAGAGAGAGAGCTTGGATGGATATAAGTTGAAAGTATGGATGTCAAAAACAGTTGTATCATGTCTTCTGACGAATACAGACGTGCACTAGAAGAATTTGGGTTGGAAGTTAGAAAGCTCAGTGCAGACATCCAATTGTATGAGCAGAAAGTTTGTTTGTTCAAAGATTTCGAGCAATTGAGTATTTGGGACAAGGTGTTCACAGAACCAAGACGTTCAGTTGCAACGTTTCCTACATCGAGAAGAATCCAACCAACACAGCTAGATGGCGATACTGAAAGCAAGCTTCATTCTATTGACAGCTCTGAGCAACAACGTCTTCTACACAAACATACCATATGATACGAGGAATGCAGCCATATGTTTTGATATGAATCGTACACCACAATGTGATTGGAAGATGATGAAAAGAATGCATGTCAATGATAACAAACTACCTGTATATTCAATCGACATGCCTCGAGTCAATGGGACCACCATCGACTACAAATTGAAATTATCGTTTTCTGCTGGCAGTGACGGCGAAACTGGGGACTGGCAGATATTCACATTGAAGAAATCACCCGCAAAATTAGATGACGATCAAGATTCTGTCAATATCATTGCAATTTTGACACTTCGTTGTACACTAATATGTTCACTCATTTTAATCTCACATGTTATTTTCATTATACTGAGATATAAGGGATGTGATGAATAAAAACTCTGAGATTACGATATATAGTTCTTTATTTAGGTATTAGATTACATAGTCAATCATATGAAGTATCGACATTGCAAAGACTGCACTGGAACCTTCCTCCGCGGAAATGATTCATGCAAGGTGGAATGGATTGTTGAAACGTTATTGGTTGCCACCAAGAATTGTCAAAATCTTCTAAATTCACAATGTGATTGGTCATCTCCAACTCTGCACATTTTCGCTGCAAGAACTGAATCTTTTGGTGTCCTCTAACGTAGATGATATTTGTTTGCTGCAGGTTGTTTTGTAGTATTCCATCGAACTCATTTAAATCCACATAACCACTGGAATTTCTCAAACCATGCACATAGCGTTCCAGGTGATTTGCCATCTTTTTATCTTCTCTGCTTAAACTCGAAAATTCTACAGATGGCTTGAATAGAAAATGACTCGTCTTTTTGCCAATGCGAATGGTCATTTCCTTTGGAATGAATTCACCATCAACCGTGAACACTTGAATGTCAACCAGTGCGATCTCCATGACTCTTCGAAGCAAACTGATGTCTGACTGATGCAGCAACACCTAACTAGGCAATATTTCGAACAATTCCGCTGAGTGGGAGATGTTCCATGATTTGATCGTGAATGATGATGCAATAGGCTTCGGTGTCGGGAGGGCAGCCTGTAGTCGCTTCAATGTCCAACTTCATGTCAACTGTAGACGACTTTAGACCCAGATAGCGCCTCGAGCAATCGATAACAAACATTGGTCGGGATTTGAATTCGGCAAAGTTTACTAGAGAGCGCTTTTCTTGACAGTTATGGTAGCTCTTGTTGAACTCTGTATAGTTGAAGTGAGCGTCAGCATATTGGTCTTTGGAAAAGTCCAATAGCATTTTTTCTTGCGGATAATAGTCGCTATTCAGAGCCAATCGTATGGATTTCATGTTGGCATTATCGAACAAGGTGACGTCTTCATGCAAATTATCGACTTTTTTCGTTTGGAAAACTACTATAACATATCTTGGACTGTCCAATGCAGAACATGTCTTTACGGACCAGATTTCTATGGTAGATCCTTGTGTGAGTGCTATCAGCTCGTGCAATTCCCATCGGCGAAACGGTATCATCATAGACTCATCTGCTTTGATACGTGTCAACAGCTGCAACTTTATGTCATCGTTGTGTGTGAGATGTGGCACTTTCAAATTGATGCTTTCTATCGTTATTTCAGCAATACTCTGAGTCTGAGGAGATCCTGCTGAAGCAGTATTCGCCCTCTCGACAATCTTCACACTGTTGGCATCATTGCGAGCTCTCACTAAACGGATTGACTGCTTGCCCCACGTTGCCACTTGATGATCATTGAAGATGGAAAACAAATGTTTCAGTGGAATGTTCATGCTGAACGTACCATCGATGTTGAGGATCGGAGCATTGGGATAGTTCCAGCCTGCTATGGCTAGATGACGTGAGTCTTCAGGCGTATAACACAAGTATCCTCGCACAGTACTCGTTATTCCAGGATATCTGACAGTGTCCAATTCTTTATTACATAATTCATAGGTGCAGGAATCAAAAAGATAAGCTCCAGCATTGTGGGTTAATGTACCAGTACCACCACCGGTCACCTTCAATTTACCCTTGATGGTAATGATACCTTCAAACATGGCCAACCACGAATCTGCTTGATTAACCGTTATATCGATGACATCATTGTTCTCGAATGATTTCACATATGGATAATAGGTACGCCATTCCACTTTAGTGATGCTTTCGTCGAGTCTGGGTTTGCGGAAAACGTCGAACACGGGTGCTAACAACATTGTAGTCTTTGAGTGATTTCAGAAACAGGACACTGGATAATGTCAATGTTTTTCTGTTGCTGCTGCTGCTGCTCTTCGAAAACACGACTGCTTTGGTGTACGGTGTCGAGAGAACTGGTGCTGATGATGTTGCTGATGATGGTATATTATCTGATTTATAGGAGTAATCAAACACTAGTACCATCTTGCGAGTTTCTTCAATTTCAATCTTATGATGATTTCTTCACCTCTTTAATTCACCTGCCTGAAATCTTGGTCTAGAATCTGGAGTGTGATGTTAGGCAATTCCCGCCTGCTGACGATAGGTAGGTAGATTAGATTCCTGGGAGTCTCGTCTATCGCGTAACCAGGATCGACTGCAACCGCAAACTCGTAGATCGTATGTGATGGTCTGTCGTTGTAGAGAGCTTCAGCAGTAACGTTGCTATTAATGTGAATGGTTCTCACTTTGGTTATGCTGACCGGCAAATCGGAAGTGTGGACTTGTTGTGCGTTCAACAATCTATTTGAAAATCCCAAGACTTGAGCTATGCTATCCTCCGGGCGAAAATCGATGGCAAACCTGTTGCTCGAAATTTCGCACTTTAGCGTATTGTTGTTGGGCTTCAACGAGAATATATCATCAACGTCCTTTGCACTTGAGAAGCCCAATTCTTTGCGAATAAATGTCTCAATGTCCACAATGTCCTATGAACCTTCGGGAATATCGATGATCTTTTCCACCTTGGTCTTATCTTGCAAATAAAATTTGGATCCCTTGTCAATATTTGGTATACTGTTGTATGAATGGAATCCCAATAATGCTAGTCCGTAATCAGAGTCTGGATCGAGTTGAAGTGGTGTCAAAAATTCTATGGAGAGCGTAGATGTACGACCTTTCAACGTCACTATCAGAGACATGACACAATGACCAAGTTACTTGGTCTCATTAACAAGGAATTCTAAACATCCACACCCACAATAACTTTGATTGTAATTTTGGTATTGCTCATTATTGTACATGATTTTCGTGCTGACACCCAAATATTGCGCCAATTCTCTGGGCGGTTCCAGATTGCCATAACTATCGAAATATAAGACTTTTTTATCATTTTTTATGTGAGCCACCCAATGAGTGCCCGCATGATTGGAGGTATCCAAATTCAATACAGCACACTCGCGATGCCATGGACCGGTGGAAGGTAGAGTGTCCCGCATAAAAACACCTCGAAAATACGGTATTTTCAGCTGTTTGGCATACTTTATCACATCTCTATCGTACATTGATTTATTGGGTAGCTTGTCTAGAAGTTTTTTGAGTTTTTTGATTGTTTCTTCAAGTACAGTCCGAATCCTCTCGATGTTTTGCGTAGAAATAGGCCGGAACCTTGTTTTCCGATAGCCTTCATTGCTCTATTATGCCTTTGATCTTCTTCGAGCTTTTTCTTTGCATTTTTTGCATCAATGACTGCCTTTGCGACTGCTCCGGCTCCTCCAGCTAGAGATCCTAGGGCTCCCAAGGCGACAAAGATTGGTATCAATGGTAGGATACCTCCACTGTGTGGAAGAGGTATGATTCTTGGTACTCTGATTCTTTTTTTACCGCCAGCTCTCTTGATTGCCATTCTGGCTGCATGGAGTGCTTTCAATGCAGATTAATTCAGACCACTTCCTGATGTTGTACTACCACCACTACCACCATCTGACTTTGATAGTACATTTTTTATGAATTTGATAATGTTGGATAGGGATTGCTGTGATACAAGACCCATGCCAAGTTTTCGTTTAACCTTCATTCCGGTGGTGACAAGCCAAGTAGCAGCCTTCTCTTTGAATTTAGCGTTCTTCGACTTGACTCTCTCCCACGCTCTATTTTCCAATATCCAATCAGCTTTGTGCCTGTCTTCTATTGAGGAATTTTGTGAATAGGCGATATCGTGTACTCGACACGCGTCGTCCAACGGATTGATACCGGTGTCTCCTCTTGCAAGTCTTTTATCGAGTCTGGTACCTGGACCACAAAATCTGTAGCCTGGAATGTGTAATTCGATGGAAAGTTTATCGATCAGAGAATTAAGCACACCCTCTCCGTGGTAGAGCAACATGAAGACTGACGTGTAGGAAGTTCGATAACTCTGCATATACCTAATGAAATGAAAAATATATCATCACATGATGAAGATCATTCAACAAGAACAGATGTTACCCATTGTGAATTTGGATGACATTTTGTCAACCAAACCACCAGTAAATAGTGAACATGGAAAACTGCTTCCCCATTCGTTCAGAGCAATCTTCTGCGGACCAAGCGGATGTGGAAAGATCAATGCGATGCTTTCCCTGCTGTTCAATCCAAATGGCGCGAAATTCAAGAACGTTTACGTGTATTCAAAGTCGTTGTACCAACCGAAATATCAATTGCTGCAACAAGTGTTGGATTCAGTGGAAGGTGTTGGGTATTTTCCTTTTAAAGAAAATGATGATGTCATTAGTCAATCAGAAGCGAAAAATCATTCGATATTCATTCTTGATGATGTATCATGCGACAAGCAGCAAAAAATTCGAGAATATTTTTCAATGTGTAGACACAAGGATATTGACGTAGCATACCTATGCCAGACTTTTTCTAAGATACCGAAGCAGCTGGTGCGAGACAACAGTAACCTGTTGGTGTTATTTCGACAGGATGAAATGAATTTGAAGCATGTGTTCGACGAGCATGTCTCACCAGACATGTCATTCGATCAATTTAAAGCATTGTGCTCAGAGTGTTGGAATTCCAACCAATATGGTGCGATGGTGATTGCAAAAACTTTCGATATGAATGCTGGCAGATATAGAAATGGTTTCGATGAATTCATAAGACTGTGATCTCTGGACCATTCATCAAGATGACGTCAACCAAGATGCATGATGATGTTGCTGATGCGCTGCGCAAGAAAAAAATCAACGAACTATCGAAATCAATCAGAAGAAAATATTTAGCACTGAAATTGGGCAAGTCTGAGGATGATGATGCGTTACAGAAAATATTCCAACCACTGACATCACCTTTGAAACAAATTGCCACCACGTCCAAGGTGATAAAAGAAAAACTCGATGGAACGCTTTCAAACATCAAGCGAAGCAGAGCAAAATCGTTAGGGTTAAAGAGGGAAAAGAAGAAGGAAGAGGATGATGATGAGAATAGGGATGGGGAGCAATCAAATTTGAATCAAACTAATTTCATACCTATGATGGATGTGGCTGATAATGCTGGGCATACTGAAAATGATGATGAGGATGGTTATGACGATGCTGATGATGAACTCTTTGCAGATAGTGAAAATATCTCACCAGCTGCAATACATGATTACGTTGATCAGTATCCTGCGATGGCTCAAAAATATCTGACTGAATACTGGAAAAATGATGAAAATATCGATACGGTTTATGGCCCCAAATATGATCCAGTAACATCGAAATTATCCCTCAACGGAAAAGAAATGAATTTCCATCGAAGAACTGGAGATATACTTCTTGATGGCTTTCGGTTCCGTGGCACCCCAGGCCTCTATCAATTACTTTTCTATAATGATCCATCTTTTGCCAAAGATGATACGAACACATACAAGCAAATACTCTTGCTCACCAAAGCTCATCTGGATTCTGCAGGACGTATGAAGTCCTCCTCTAGACTCAAATACATAGAAATTATTCGTCCAATGTTCAGATCCAATTCCAGTGGTCGTGGTTTGAAGTTGACATACAATACAGCACCTATCGAATACATGTAATGGGATGATCCATACGAATTGGTAGATAGATTGAAGTTGCTCATTGCATCACAGCAAGCCGGAAATACATCAAACGAAAACGAGATTGTTGCCATCTTGAACGAATTAGAAGAGGCAGGCATAATAAAACATGTGTGACATTTTTGTGATACTTTCGTGACACTTCCATGACAACTTCCGTGACAGTTCCGTGACACTTCCTTGACACTTCCGTGACAGTTCCGTGACAGTTCCGTGACACTTCCTTGACACTTCCGTGAACTTCCGTTACACTTCCTTGACACTTCCGTGACAGTTCCGTGACACGTCCATGGCATGTCTATGAGTGACGGGGCTAATTGGCGAGGCAAAGTGCCGACCATTATCGATAACGTACAATACTTTATTAATTAGCATAATGAGTCTCGACAAATTCGGACGTGGTTCGTTTCCACGCTCAGCTCAGATGGTGACAGTCAGATCTGGATTTTCACATACTCCAACCGGTGATATTGATGTTGGTCATTTGAAGATGTGTAACGTAAAACTGCCAACGAATGTCGCTGATGTTGCAAACAAACAATATGTGGATGAAGTTATATCGCAAATGAAGTTAGATTTCAAGATTGCTTCCGATAATTACGGTGAAAAAATCCGAAATTACCTTGCTGGCTTCAGCAACGAAATAATCGGAGAAAGGAAGAGAGTGGATGTACATGATTTTGAACTGACATCG